GGATGCCTCGGCAACTTAAATTGTCTTCATGGCCAAAAGTGTGGCTGGTTGAGATTAAGCTATCAAATTACACGCAGCTGGTGAGCCAAGCAAAGCAGAAAAAGGTTTAAACAAGTTTTGGCATCCTCGAAAGGAGCCTTGTAACTTCGCAGCGAAAGTGAGGAAACCCCTTTAGGGTCGGTCAGGAACGCCAATGTGAACTGCGAATGTGTTCGTCCGGCCTCACGAGGTACCCAGTGGCACCAACTCACACAGATGTTGTACGTTTTGAACTTTGCTCAGGCCGTTTGGTTACCCTTTGGCCTCATGTGGCCTCTTTGTAGAATGGTGCAAAAGACATACAATCATATACTGCTTTGTGCTTTGTCCAAGGGTGCCGATGTCAAAGGTGAAGATGTCTTAGTCGAGTAGATGATGCGGGTTCAGTGTGACCTTCTGCTTTCGTGTGCTCTCAACTTGCACTGCTTGCAGAAGGCTATATGGGGCATTGCACCACTCCCTTGCAACTCAGGAAGTAAAGGAAAGTGGCTCATGTCAGCTATTAGTCTCCGAACTGTGCCACCGGCCCACGTGAAGCGGGCAGAAATCAGTGAGAACTTCTTGGACTCTGTCTGGGCAAACGACTTCACACTTGACTGAAATTCCCACCCAGCGCAGCGCACTATGGCACAAACTATAGATGAGTTTTAACTAGTATAGCTTCTTGTTCCCAGTAGAAATGGCCTCCAACCTAGTAGTGATGGCCTCCAACTTAGTAGCTTCTAGCTACTAGTTAGAGGCCCCATGCGTTTCAAACAGTTTCAGATTCTCTGTGAAACTAACAGGAGGTTTAGGCTGAATCCCTACTATTACAGCCTACTTAGTGGTTCCAGGCAGTCGTAGAAAGCATCTACTGGCCAAGGGTCCCCCCAATCCACCCCACCGATGTCCGATAGATTTGGGCCATCGATTACCCCAGCACTAGTGGTTTCCGTCACAAAGATGGTCAATCTACCATGGGCCAGCCATAGAAGTCCAAGGTTTTGACCTATTTCAGGCTTTGAGGTTGCCATTATGTGCAAGACCCACCACTCCAATTTGGGTCTGAACACACACGCTGAACAAGACCAATGACACGGACGCTTTTTTTGGGGCTCCTGCAAACACCCGGCAACACAAGGACCAAACTGAAGTTTCCCAGGGCTTTCCAGGTTGGGAGCTCTTAAACCATCTTAGACCCCCTATGCATGGACCATGGGCACCCTGAAACCCCTTTAATCACCACAAGCAACGCGTTTTTCACTGCTGGCTTATATAAGTCAACATGATTCGTCTGATCCTTCCCTCACCGACGTTCGAAACGCAGCCAGTTCCCACCGTTTGTTCGATCTTGTGAAAGGTGGTCCCTGATTTTGGGTTTGTCCAAACAGTCTCATCGCAAAGACCGTCTCATCCTGTCCTGCCTGCCGAAATGTGCTGATGAACCGCCGTCTTTCGTGCGCCCTGTGACGCTCATCAGGCAATCAGCATCATCAGAGATCTTTGATGTTTCCAAAGTATAAAGCCGCAACTCTAAATATATTACTACTCGGGACTTGGGAACTCCAGGTCACTGGCCAATCCCAAAGCTGCGGTGATCAATTCAACAGCTGGGTCGTTGAGGACATCTGGGTCAAACGCCACCACGGCCAGGAAACACATGTCCCCTAGAAGTCGAACCACCATTGTTTTAATAGCCTTCACCGAACAACCATGGTTTCACCAGAGGTTTTACATTACAAAACCAGATCAACCATTTAAAACATGGTCTTTGACTTCCAGGGTGTCCCTTTCGGAGAATGGATTGGGTTCACCGATGTTCAACGCTGACGTTTGCGAAACTGAGATCGAACCACGTGGATTTGTCCAACTGGAGGAATCAAGTCATGTTTCTTCTTCACCCAGTTGGAGGATCATGTTCACATCCTGTCCACCCGATAGTCACTTGGGGTCCCTGACATCCAACGAGCAAACATGAAGTTCTGAAGAAACTTTTCAGTGTGTAGAAACACTTTCAAAACATGGAAACCTGTAGAATTGAAGGACATCCCCCTTGGACTGGTCTTCCAACTATGTTCTGCGGGGAAATGAGTCAACTCATTTGGAAAACAAACAAACACGGCAGACCATCCATGCCTGTTTGACGGAACATCGCGCAGCCACACACACAATGTGTTGTTATGCAGAACAAACATGGGGGAAGAACATCAACAACGACTACTCCTACTCCTACTCCTACCACTACATACCACTACGACTGCTGCTGCTCCTACAGTACTGCTGCTGCTGCTACTACTACTACTGCTACTTCTACCACTACTACCGCTACTGCTACTGCTACTTCTGCGAGTACCTGTGAACTGCACACATCAAAGAACTCGACAAAGACTACAAGGATCGAAGTAGTAGTTCAATGGCTCAGTGGATTGCAAGCCTTCTTCTCCGAGTCTCTTCCAAAGCAGGTCGGTCTCATAGCCTGCGAAACTGGGAGATCCACTGGGTGCTACCCAGTAAACATCATGCTGAGTAGAATGTATTCGCACGCCGCCGCCACAAGCAGCTCGTCTAGAGAACGTCCACACCGTCAACTTGGTAGGACTACAAAGATTCGGTGGAAAGTTTTGGAGCATCAAACAGCAGCGTGTTCCACACGTATGCGTGTTTTGGTATGCCAGACGAACATGCGAGCAGTCCAGCTCCTGTGTGCGTCTGCTTTTTCGTGCAGCTCGTCCAGCTCCAGGGCGGTCAGGGTGAATGCTGAAGAAGTACATCTAACATGTGCCTGAAGACTCCACCTTCTCCGATTGCCCTATTCCATCCTATTCCTGTTTTGGTTCACGAAAGAAGCAGGTCCAGTCCATGGATAAACAAAACGTGCATAGGCCGAATCGACTTCTGCTCCAAAACCGCATGACTCGAGAGAAAAGACGTCTGATTCACCCAAAAGCGAGCGCATAGATTTTTCGCACAAAAAACATGGGTGGTTTAGATGGATTCCCCATCTACAGTGATGAAAAGAGGCACAGACCTCTTAAGACGTCCTTTATAGTGGTTTCAGAGTAGATGGCACAAACCCCAAGATGTCTTTTAGATGGGGATCCATATAAACCACCTAACTTGGGGTAACTTGTGCCATCTACTCTCAATGCACTGTATATGGGGGTTCATAGTTGCACCACCTCCAACTTTGGGTCACCTGTGCGATTTTTTAATGATACGGCGACCACCGAGAAGGGCGGTTGCAGTGGTCAAAAGGAGGGTCTTGGCAGTTCCGATGATTTCAATGTCATAAGGAATTTGATCGTTTTGAGCTAAGGTTCAACTCCTTGCTGAGACAATGTAGTTAATTGGCTATAGCTTATAACTATGTTTGTACTATTGGTTCAAGTTGGGGATGGGTTGGGCCCAAAACAACTAAAGCTCCGAGAGTGTCATACTCTTTTCGGACGAGGCTTCACTGTGGCGGCCGCATGCGTCGACTGGCACCAGTTGAGGAGCTGGAGACTCTTGAGCTCTCACCTGTGCACCAACCTGGAATAGCACGGTTTGGCCTTTCGAATTGAGCACGGTTTGGCTCTGATTCCAACACCACAAACACTTTGAACCCACAGATTGGTGCCACAAGTGTGTTGAAAATGGACCTCTGGCAAGTCCACATAAGCTCTCTGCTTCAGTTATATACTGCAGTCTGGTGCTTCCTGGTAAGCCAAACTGGATGGCTTCCAGGATGACGAGTCTGACGCACAATCAATCACATCATCTACACCTATCATCACCTACAAAATACATAATGAAGCATAGCAAAGCATTAAACAAAAATGATCACACATGAGACAGACTTCAATCCATCTCCTAAATGATTTGAATATACTTGAATTATGAGGCAAGTCAGTATCTAATTTTTAATCTGCTACTGCTACAGAAACTGCTACAAAAACACGGATCCAGCACTGGTTGTGAACTAGCCATCCCCAAACTCCCTCCACCAGGGTTTGGACAGCAGCAAATCCCTGAAGTTTGGTGTGGTCTCCAAAGCCACTTGCCAAAGGAACAAACAATACATTATAATACATTATATTTTTATATACACATAATATATACATATGGCTGTGCATTGAAAAGGGAACACGTAAATAGACCTGTCTACCCAGCCAGGGCGAGGGGGTCTCCCTATTACACACCCATATGTAACATATATATATATACTGTATACCATATAATAACATATGTATACGTATGTCATATATATATATAGAGATTAACATATATAAGCATTATATATATATGTATATATTAATAAAATTTGAACAATATGGAGACCATAATCCCAGCTCCTCCAAGTTCCAATACTTGCCCCGCCGATACTGAAGCAACAAAAAAACTGAATGTTGGTTTGGGGCGGCATAAGTGGAAGTTCCATATTTTGAGCTTGGGAAAGGAATACCACCAAGCTTAGAGTGATGTTACAATAGTGAATACTATCACTATATATATATATATGTGTTTCTTTATGTTCCACGTGAGAACCATTTTTTTTCACACGATGATTTTGATCTTGAATGCGTAATTGCTTGGCTTGACGTATCGCTTGTCCAATCGAGCCCTTGCTCGATTGGTTCGTGCCGTCGTGCTCGTCGACCTCATAGGGGTCGCACTCCAACGCAAAGCGAAACAGTCTCCACAGCTCGAAACTGGTCCATGTCCCGCTACAAAGTGGGCGAAACCTTAGTGGTCGCAAGTGCTGATGCAACTAGCTGACACAAGTGCACTACCATCGCACAGATGCACCAAAAAGGAGTTTTGATTCACTGGCGCAAGGAAACAGCACTTGCAAACTCCATATAGGATGTCCACCTTCTGCGGATCACTAGCGCATTTCCGATCTTGCCTTCGAATCGATGGCAAGCGCATGTGAACGCCACTCCGACGCCAGGCATTTGTGGAGGGTTGGCATATCACCCAACTGATTAAGAATCCAAATTGCGTCAAGACTTGAAACCCATCCACAGGCTGCTGGCTCAGGCCACTGAGAAACAATTTCATCGGAAACTGATCCTCAGAATGTTGCAGCCCTCCTCCCGTTCTTCCTCTAAGAGAGCTCCCTGTGTGATCTGCTGGACTCTTGCTCCTGGCACAGCATGCAACGCGGCAATTGACAACGCCAAAAGAACTGCGTCTCCAAATGGGTTGGTCGGACTTTCTTGGGGGACAAACCATGCTTCCAGGTGCCAAAAGCATCAGACAAAACTGTCCACACTCACACTCACCAAAAGCTGAAAAGCTGTGCCATTTGGAACTGCACATCTTCCACCACCACCTGGTTGCGAACGGAAGATCTACCCATCATCGTCGTCGTCGTCGTCGTCATCATCATCATCATCGTTGTCATCATGATCATCAGCCACATCATCCACAAAGGGGAAATGGAACTGGATGGAACTGACACATGTTCAAAGGGGAATGAAGGTGTTTGTTACGAAGTTGAGACCTCTGTGTACTTGACAACTGCCACGTGCCCGCCGCTTGGGGCGGAAGCCCCAAACCGCCCCACCCGGGGCCGAAGACTTGGAAGACCCGGAGATACCCGGAGGCCAACAGGTGGTGCCATCCACGAAACCAGGTGGACCGTGGTTCCGAGCTTCCGGGCCTCCCAGATGCTGCACTTCTGCACTTCACCGACCCAGCCGGTCGCGAACCACGGCGGTGGACCAGCATGGGGGTTTTGGAGGACGGACCACACCCAGGTCAGGTCGGTTGGTCGCCCCTTGTACATGACGAATGAGGCCAGCCTGTTTTCAGTATGTCCAAGAATGTCCCCACAGATTCCCACAACATCTTCTTCTGACCGGCTCACCTGATATGTCAAATCTCATACAAATGAACACAGACTCCACTCCAGGCTTGACAGGGCGTGGCCTCTACATGTGCAGGCCCAATTCTACCTGACACAATGGTTTCTTCTTTCCAGTGGCTCTGGTTAGTTGACGAAATGTGTTTCTGCTTCTTTAGCCTTCTTTCATCGCCAAGAAGACGGCACTGCGAAATTGAGACCAAGGATGCCCAAGGTCTTCCACAAAAGTAAGGGATGTGGCATCGAAACACGTCCTGGGGGTCCACCAGTTTCTGTTGTTCCATTTGGTCAGGAGGTGTTGGACGTGCCCTGCTTTTGACCCACGGCCATTTGGCTCCAAAGTAGGATGCCATCAAACATCCCGGATCAAATGGAAAACATCGACCAGACAAGACGAAAGTCTGCGGGTTCCCGGGTTCCCCTATGTTTGAACCAGTCATTTCTTGACTACTCCAGCCATATTGTCAGAAATCCTCAGAAGGTGCTCAGACCCCCCCCAAACCCACCCCAACCACCTTCTGAGGATGTGGTTGGAGCACTAGGGATTATACCCCCTTTGACCCGGTCAGCACAAAACAGTGGCAGCTAGCTCCCTGTGCTCCTGCGACATCTCCTCGCAGGGGCTAAAGACCTGACTGGACGGAAGAAACATACAGATGGTAACCCAAACATGGCAATTGCGAGGCATATGGCCTCCAACAAAAACATCATACTTACTGACACATACTGACCAACCACTCATTGTAGGAGAGAATCATCTTGTACATTCAGACAAAGGTTTAGTTGATATATTTCTTCATTGGCCAAAGATGCCGCCACAGTCGTTGTTTTTTTCTCTTCAAAGTCAAATCCATGTGGCCGAAGACCCCATGTCTTGCGAGGCCAAATAAGAAGCCACGAAACCAACAGGCTTTGGGTTTGTGGAGGCCATCGACCCACATCAGCCACGCTCAAAATATTTTATTGCATTGCCTCTTCTCACCAGGGTAGAAAAAACACATCTATAATGAGACTCAATGGCACATCCAAAAGGAGCTGCCTTACACACATGTTGAACGTGCCTCACATGTTGTTGCGGAAAAAACAAGTCCACCCACTGGGCCAAGTGAGGTCTCTCCCTCATGTGAGGAAAAAGTTTTGCAATACTGAAGTGGTCCAACTACACACAGCCAGCATGTGTGAGGCAGAATCCTCTAGAGGATTGTCGTTTCCAGCCCAAAGCATTGTTGGTCGTTCCTTTAGCACTTGGTCTTGGCTCGTGGTCCCCCCTTTCCCTCACGTGGATCAGCCACCCAGAAAGATCCAGAAAGAGCGTTGGCTCCCACGATCTTCTTTACATTGTCTATGAGGAAGACCCTGCAACCAATGGATGTTTATAATATATATATATAGATACTTATATGCGTATATATATATATATATATGGGAGCCACATGTCGCAACAAAACACCGTCCTAGTCCTCGTCGTCTTGACCCCTCAAAATCACTTAGGAGAAGGAACTGAATGGCTCGAGCGGGACGTCTTCGGCCATGAGACGCCATGAGAAACCAGTTCAACAGCCAAACTAACGGGTGATAACGGGTGATGCTTTTCTTGTGCATCCCACCCGTCTCTACCAAACAACAGGGTGAAAAAGAACGGTGGGAAGCGGAGCTCAGCAGTTTGAGCGCCGCCTTTCCCCCGCAGCCATGTTGAGAGAACACCCGTGATTACTGACTCCGTTTCGATCCGTAAAAAAAAACACAGGTCGAACAAACTCCACCTGTTCTTGTTGAGTGGGGTATCCCCTGATCCTCAATAAGACGGTTGCAGGTTACGTACTTTGCCTGGGTAGAAATTCACAGAGAATTGATTTGTCTCACATGAGTCACATGAGAACATGTCGCTGAAAGCCCAATTAGTCTTTTCGGAAAGTCAAGCTCATATAGGTCATTCCAGGTCCGAAGAAGCCGGAAATTCTCCAAAGTGGACAGAACGTCTGATCTGAAGAGCCGGCCCCTGACCCGCTGTGGGTTGCAACATGAGAAGTCCTGCTAGGCTTTACCATGTTGGGTGGATCTCTTTCCACCTTGCATTTGCCATTCACACACCCCTGCAAGACCCAACGTTCAACCCAAAGGGGTGAGTGTACCACTTTGAACTACTCGGGGTCAACGTGGTTGCTTGCTCTCTGCGCCGTTCCGCCTCTTTCATCCGTTTGCCTCGCATCACTCGTACAAAACCCCCGTTGCTTCCCAGGCGCCAAATGCTGACCAGATCGGCCATGACGATGGAGGTTGCCCAAGTTGTCCAACTTCAGTTCGCCCCCACACAAGCACACCTGCAAAGATGTCCACACAAGCGCCAGAGCGGTTGATGTGGCCGAGGGTTGGGAATCATTGAGGTCTGACAGCTGAAAAAAAGGTGTTCAATGGGCAAGGTGCAAGGTGCAAAACCCAAGACATATGGGAGATTGGGAGATTCTTCCATGTACTTTAGGTGAACTGTAGGTTTTCACCCGTTTCGGACTTGATGATACCTAACGGACGTCAGACGTACGTTCTGTCTCACGGAGCGGATGGACCCGACTTCAAATACGAAAATGGGACATGTCGGACATGACGCCCCTATAAAAAAAGCAGGTAAACCAAAAGTGCTAGAATTGTTACACCGTCTTCCAACATGTATATGAAAAAAAAGATGTACAATATTTGATACGGTTAAGCTGGAAACAGGTATACTAGCTTTTACCCATGTTCCGTCCGGTATGAACTGCGAGTCCAGGTGTTTTGGTCATCCGTCCGGCCCGGCGTCGCCCGGGACGGGCCGCAGGTTGTTCCCGTGAAATCGCGTGCCGCGTGGACCAACAAGACGAAGCACCGACGACACAGAAAACCCATCCCAAGATCCCAAGAAACTGACATGTGTATATGCTGGGGTAGGCAGTATGTGTTCATGAAAAAAAAAAAGCAAAACACAAGCTAGCCAACGTCATGACAAACTCACGTGACAATCTCCAAAATTGGAGTATTCTTTCATGTGGTGTAGTCATGTGTATACTGTATGGGTCTGTTGGTTCCCTCCCAAGTGCTACTTTGCACTATTCTTAGTTTCCTCTCTCTCTATCTCTCTCTTCGTTTCTTTGTTCCAGCTCTTTCTCTACTGATGATGCGATTATATGCGATTGGTTCACTCCTACTTTTTACTTGCCCAAAGTCAACTGGATGATGTTAACCATATGTGCGAAAGAAATGAGTCAAGTTGATAACGAAGACAAGGAGCCACCTACAAAGGGAACACACTAACAAAGAGGGGAAGAGGAGCGATAGCCAGAATCAACCTCGGTGCAAACGGAAAGAGTTGTATAAGTGCAGCAAACAGTAACGCAACAATATATAATCGAGCAAGAGGGAAGCCCATAGCTCAGGAGATGGGAACTGTAATATATATAAGGTGGCAAAAGAGGTATATACATGTACTACTATAGTAGTTCAGAAGAGGCAAGTACCAAGAGGAGGTACTTGAACTCAATCTGACGCCGTCAGTTTCATAACCCTTTACTCTACCTTTTTCAAGATTGTGCAGGCAGCCATCAAGCACACACCGTTTCACGTAAAGCACCTTCATCTCAGTAATGATCTCCAGCTGTTGCTCTGTGCCATCCTGGTGCGCTTCGATGGATAGCAAAATTTGCCGAGCCAGTGCCGTCTATGGCAATCGTGCTATATCACAGGATCTTGACTTGTCCATCATACCTGGTGTTTCCTTGGAAGAAGTGCCAGGTATTCGAGATGGGTAGTGCCTCATCGAGAATGACATTGGGTCACGGCGACCCAATAGTGTGAGGCCTCAGACCCAAGACCCCACTGGTGCGCTGTTTCTTGGGTGTATATATATATATATATATGCAATATACCATGTTCGAGGCACATCCAGCAAATGCTTTTGACCAACGATACCATTTCTGTCCGTTTCACTGCCGACCGGCACATCCGGGTTCACAAGTGATAGAGACCGGTCATTGAAACCAAGGAGTCGAACGGATCCTTCATCGTTGTGGTCTCTGACCCGGTACGCCCTCCGGCTGAAACGCCAGCCACCCCTCTGCCTGGCTGGTCACGTCATGACCATCGATGCTGAAAGCTGATAACCAATCCGCCACCAGGTCTTTGTGACCGGCAGAACTACATTGAAGCCTCCACTCACCTGGACGACGAGTGACGTGGAGGCTTGAGACGACTGGGCAACGCCCACCGTAACCATGGTACCGGAAAACCATGTGCTTTCAGGTCTATGTGACGGTGACGGTGACGAATGTTCTTGTTTGTGTGTGTTTGATATTTGAAGATCTTGATATCAAAGTCGGATTTGAAGGGTCAGAACCATGAACTTTGCCCCGAGCCCTCGACGCTTCGACCACTCTCGGCATCATCTCAAAAAAGAACACCTGCTGCTCTGCATAAGGCCTTGCCACTGGCCTTGCCCATCCGTAATGAAGGCAAATCATATGTTCATTCGACTCTGACAGTGTATGACAGTGTCACTTCTGAAACCCATCCGCAATCCAGCTCATGAGCTGGACAAATTAGGACCGAAGTGGTTTTGATATGAGCACCAGTGAAATGAGGTCAGTTCTTGACCTGGATGTTGGAATCAAAATCGATGTTGGACTGAAATCCCGGAAACCAGTCCCAGTCGACTGAACATCCCATCCCGACATAGAAAAACATGTTAAAACATATACCGTATACAGTATGAAGTGTTCCTATACCAGGACACCCGGGCCAGGGGTGTCGAACTTGATAGCCCCTTAGAGGTTAAGGGGTGTCCATTAACCACCCCTTGTGGGTCCTAGTATTTCCTATTATGTACCAGCAGTTCCATGGAGTTGGGATCTATGGATTGGGGTATGGAGCCGGGGGGGGCAAAACATCCGCTCACAACTAAAAGCTACCCCGTCTTGTGACCCTTTCTTTCTTTCTCATCGATTCATTAACTTTTGGTGGTCCATCGAAACATGGAGTTTCGGAGGTGGATCAATGATGGAGGTATGATGGATCCGTAGGCTGTGTCAAAAATCCCTGAACAAAATTGGAACTTGTTGGACGGGTGTGCATCCATCACATCCATTCTTTTGGGAGGTAGGACTGTGAGACTTTGGACCTGCCACCAATGACCAAAGGCATACTACAAGTACATGGTCATACCCAGTCAGTGGATAACCAGTGGTTTCCCCACTCTGCGCCGCTGCGCCAGCCTTGAAGCTGCTCCACAAACTCGTTGGCCTTGTTCTTGCACTCCCGTGCCCACTTGGGGTCAACTGCGAGCACGGCAGCCAGTCAGGGGGGCGTGTGGTACCAGGCGGCCCGGATGGGCCAAGAAAACGGAGAACACTAAACTTCTAGACAGTTGGAAGATGAAGGCTTGCTATAGAAGGTGCCCAGGAAGAACATGTTAGTTTGAGTTCGGCTGCTTCCCCGAACATGGTCATCTGTGGCTGATTTGCTCATCATTTAACATCCACCAGCTCTAGAGTGTATACAATTCTTTGATATTCTTTGTAAATGTGCATGATACGGTTCTGTTGCTTCTCGTCATCGGCTTGCTTCACCAGATCGATTTTCACTCCAATCGCTTTCTCTGTGTGGAGCCTTCCACCTGACCGGGAAGAAGCCGCTGAATTCACCGCGGCTTCATCCATGATCATCCCATCCGAGTCACTTAAGTCCCCCATGTCGTCTAGACCACGTCCGTTGAGACCGAAGCGGGAGTTTCCCCCCCCGGAAGGGAGGAACGTGAAGAAGGACGAGTTGTGGTCTCGGGGGGTCAAAGCTGGAGACGTCTACGAATGAAGCGGCCCAAAGTGTCGCCCAAAATGGAGGAACGTCCGCACGTCGAGTCTACCATGGAGAAGGACAGTGCACGAAAACTGTTCGGACTTGAAGCTAAATGACTTCAATCATGTCAAGAGCTAGTGCCCAAAACAGCTTGTTGATTCAACCAAGTGCACATGACGATGGGCGATAGGCAACATCGCCCATCGGAGCCCGCTTTTCCCCGTCACTGCCTCCTGCGAAGGAGCTGGCTTTGGAAGGAGTCTGCCTCAAATCCCGCTGAGGCAAAGGAGGCCGTGCGCATTGGGTGCAATGCCAATTGGTGTCCTGCGGATGCTTCAGGCCGGTCGATGCTTCGGGCATCTCCCGAAAGAAAGAATCGTGGACCGTGGATGGCCCTGAAGACTCGGATGACGAAATCCTCAGACCAGGCCCAGGTGGAGAATCACTTCCATGATTGTTTCATGGGAGTGTGAAGTCCAGGTGGTCCGTCTTGAGGGTCCAGGTGGTCCGTCTGGTCCAGGACACACCGTTCGTGGACCGTGGACCAAGCCGTGCTCCACAATGCTCAACCGGGGACAGATCCTTCACCAAGGCAATCTCGGTGGAGAACACCCTCATATTTATTGGTCTAGGTCCGAGCCCCCTTCGTCGGTGATCCGCAAATGGACAGGGAGGCTCTTTAGCGCCATGGGATCATGTTAAGTACCTTAGCGCCAGCCATTTCCCAGTGCCAAATTAACAAGCCATGTGAAACAAAACATGACTTTTACCAATGGTCCGCAGTGCACAGCAGCTCAGCAGCTCCGCGACACTTTTTGCGCCTTGCGCATGGCGCATGCTTACACGCGCGTATGGGTCCTCCGCATTTTGGTGAAGTCAATGGACACGCTGCGAGTCTTTTGAAAGTAGCCTGAATGCATATCGATTCGGATCAAGTCTTCTGGAAGGGCATGATCCTCTTTGAACTCCTTCCAGGCTTGCATGGCCGGGGGGTGGGAATAGACATCATCGAAAATGACAAAACCACCCACTGAGACGAAGCCGTACAAGTAGTATAGCGTATCCTGGTAGGAGTCGTAAAAGTTGCCATCCACACGCAGCACAGCCAGCTGCATTTTGTCATGTGTGTGGTTGGTGTAAAAGCCAGGTAGGGTGTCTTTGAAGAGGCCTTTGTAGAAAATAATCTTCGAATCAAATACATTGTACAACTGGAAGCCGAACCGAACGGCCTCTTCAGGCACTGCGATAAAATTGGCCACGTCCCCGTAGGAAGGAAGGGCATCGAAGGCATCAAAGACATGGACGGAACGCTTCTCCTTCATCATATCCAAAATGGCTTTCGCAAAAATGCAGCTTCCTCCTTTCCAAACTCCCAGTTCAGCAAAATCACCCGGAATAGCATGTACAATGACCTGCCAAAGCACATCAGCCACGTTCCTCAACCGCACCAAGCCAACCATGGTTTGCCCAGCTGTGGGCCAATCATTTCCACAGAACCTTGTCAAAGGATCAAAAGGCAGCCGATTGTCGCACACCGCCCCGCTGCCTGAATGCTTGCATTGGCTTTCGAGTGGAGTCAAAGCTCCAGTCAACGCCAGTGCCAAGAGTCGAATCTGTTGGTTCGCAGGTGGTGGATATGAGGCGCCCAAGTGGCTGACCTGGTCCAAAAACTGCGCCAATGTCATCGGTGTCTTTTGAAGACACAGCGCTTCGGTGGCCAATCCCAAATTCCCGGAAAGCACCCCATGACTGGCCTCCACATCCCATGTAGTGGCAAGTCCTTTCATATCTTCCATTGAGTTTGTCCCCTTTCCCTCAATGTCAGCTGACGGAAGCCACGAAAGACAAGAAGGAGGCATAACTGTCATGAATTGCATGGTGCAAAACACCAGAAAAAGACTCCATACGAGCTGGAGACACCACGCTTTTGCTAGCACCATGGAGTTATGGCAAGATTCATACAGGATGTCCTGTCTTGGGGCGCATGCACCTGCGCCCCGATAAACCGGAGCCAAAAACAATCCTGCAGTCCGTGACTTCAGTCCACCAGCCGGAACCACACAACTACGCTCACTCCAACTCCAAATGAAGGTAAACATGCCATACCATGCAGTGTATGCCATACATGTGTTGTTTTTTCTCTCCCGGTGTAGGGGTTCATGTGGCTGTGGCTCATGTCGGTCTCCTTCCAAACCACGGTGGTTTGGCACGCAGAGTCGGTCTTCAGCATATTGCCGAAGCTGGGGCTGGAGGATGGCACTGAGACACCTCGGGGTGGCCAGAATCGGTCAGACTGGGTATGTGCAAGCCCGCGATACAATACTTGATTGACGTTTTGTCGGCATATCTGTATTCATATACGTGAATGTTCGACAAAAATCTCTGAAACTCAACGAAACTCAATGATGTCAAACAACCAGCTGAGGCAGCATAAATATATACTTTGATGTGGGCACCACCGGTGTAGAAGACCACGGCACCGCCTTTCTTTTTAACCTCCCCGGAGTTGGATCTTCTCGCAGGGAACATCTGCATCTTCTTGGTGGAACGATGCCCAGATGGCACAGACCATCGAATCCCCCACCATTCACGGATGCCCCCCCCAAAACCCACGAGACTGCGGCGGTGCGAGAATCAAGCCGACTCGTTTCGTCGCGGAATCCGATCGCGATGGCTCGGTGGATGCGCCGGCAAGCAACGGTCGTTCGAGCCGGCGTTCGTCGCCCTCTGCAGCCCTCGTGTGACGAAGGTCGCTTCGGAACGCCGGTGGTCACGCTTTTGGCCTCCCTGGTCCAGGACCCCGAGAGAGGTGTGTTTTTGTTCCATGGAAACAGCCGGAAACATGCCAACCAAGCCAAGCATGCCCGAGAGATGTGGATGTTCATGGTGTCAAACACATTGATCGCGCGGATAACAAGAACAAATACATCGGCTCAGTCTTCCCAAGTGGTGCTTTTGCAGGGACTGGTCAAAAAGAGTCTTGGAATCCCTTAAATTTTTGAGCCTTCGGAGGTCTGAGGAAGTTTTTCAGTCGTGCGCGCGATAAGAAAACACCGCCAAACAGATTCAATTGAACCTCTTGCTTCGTGTCCCAAAGCAAACTGAACAGCAACCGCCTGTAACATGTAGCTGTGTCTATCGTTTGCTTTTCTTGCATGCATTTGCCTGTACTTGACGGGATGTTAATTTCAGCAACCACCATCCCTCACGCTTTCAAAACCAAACGGTTTCACAAAAAATATGAACTACACAACTCTCCCACTACTTCGTCACCGTAGCCATCCGCCGCATGGTCTCGTTTCGTCGCTGACGTGTCAGCATGTCGGCTCTTCCGTTCAAAACCAAGCAGCTGTAGGTCAAGGTGTTCACGGACCACTCGGATCCCTCGACCGAACAAAAACACGAAGGATTCACCCGGATCCCGAGGAAGCGATGGCGAGGAAACGCAAAGGTTCCACCGGACGAGCACGGTCGAGCAGTTTGGGTTTTCGTGGAGAAGAAGAGGTGAGTCATGGTGAGTCGGTGGGTTGAACTGAGAGGTTTTTAACGTGTTTCGATATCTCATGAACAAATACACATGCCAAAGAACACATCCCATGTACTTCGCAAACCTAACTGTACACCAACCAGCAAACGAACATAAACCAACCCAACTCTTTCAAAACCTTCAGGGCCCCAGGGCTTTCAATCCCAAACCTCTTATACCCAAACGCTCCAGACTCGGGTCCGACCCCTCCATATGAGGGCCCAGGGTCGCGTCTTTGCTTCGCTACGCGCCGCGGCGCCTCGGAGATTCCTCGGGGCCGCGCCGCGGGCGGAGGCGACGAGCCGCCGGAGATGTTGGAGTACTCAGAGCAGCCCCGCGGGCGGCTGAATGGTGAGCCTGCCGGCGGAACGGCGCCGGGCCGGGGGAGAAGGAAAAGATTGTTTTTTCAGGTGCAACAAGATGGTGTGGTGGTTGGGCCAAATCTTGAGGCTGTTTGGAGTTGGTGAGGTGTTGGGGCCGAACATTTGCGTGGTCCGATGGTTAGGCTGTGGGATGAGGTGCTTGTCTGTTGAGTACGGATCCCCAATCTCTAAGGAGTCCAGCAAGTTCCACCTCTTCCTGTTCTTCAAAAGGGGTTTCACATTCGTTTTACTCTCCAGTCCAAAACAATGAGTTCCAGCTTCTCCATGCTTCATATGTCTAATGGAACAACACATCTACTTGGCAGCCCCCCATGACCCTTGGTCACTGAACTTGAAGAAGTAAGACACACAAATCAAAAGGGAGCAAGGAGAATGAATCAATCTCGATATATATAATGGAAGAGCAAATTCACAAGACAAAAGCACCTTTAAGTCTTATCAAATAGCCCCATCAATTCCTCCTCATGGCTTTGGTGGATGGGCATGACCATGATTGGGTATCTCGGACAGCCCCGGTCTGGATCCGATCCGATCGGTCGAAGATGGGTCGGGTCTGCGCACGGACACAGACCCTGTGAGATGGAGCGTGGCGATGGGGGCGGGCAGCGAGGATCATCACAGATCCGATCTGGCCTGGAATTCCAATCATCAACGCCTCATCGGGGCCGTCCTGCACTCACGTTGAGACCCTCACGAGCCAGTCAAGTGTGGGCGAGGTCTGTTGGGCGACCACAGTGACCGGAGCTTGGCTTTTCGGAAAGCTTTTGCTGAAGTAATGCGAGAAAAGTAATGGAAGAAAACGATTTAGACCCTGAAGAATCCGCAGGAAACCATGTACTATAGACTGTCACAAGCATGTTACACGCACAAAGGATTGTCCAGCGGCAATGTGCGCCCGTACGCCGTACTATAGTAGTGCTGCTAGTTAGTATAACCTCCATAGTTTCAATGCATTGAAGACCATTGACTCCTTCTCTGTCCTGTTGGAACTTGAGGGTTCACATCTATGTTATACTATATAATGAGGTTAGAATCTGCACTTCTACCTGAGAACATGCTCTCACTCTGAGGATCTTCACCATTTCCCATATGCTCATTTCATGGGGTGGTTGACTACAACCAAACTCATCTGTGCACCAAATACCTGACTTCCGAGCTTCCCCTGACCCCACCGATTCCACCGGTCTCCTGGTAAACGACGTCGGCCCGTTCATCAGGATCCACCGAGGAACTGATACCGGCCGCCTGGCGGTGTGCCGGTGGAAGCCGGAAAGGAGTGCGTCTGAGTCTACACCGCATCCATGGTCTGGAAGAGTTGCGGGTGAAAAGGATCCAGGTCAATGCATGGACTGGGCTTTCGCCTCACAGGCAAAAAGAGGTGGCGACTTTAACATGACTGCCAAAGGAAGATCTCTCACAATGAGGTCTCCATGAAATGAGAATCTCCTCAGTGATTCTGGAGATATTTCCATGTGGCACCAATTTCCCTCTTTGTCTTTTTGGAACCAAAATTGATAGGGGATCTTTGTTGGGCCTGAAATCATCTTCAGAATCAAGAATCTACCAGGCTCATCCAAAGGAAAGTGATGTCCATGTGTCATCATGTGTCCATGTCTGTCTGGAGCTCCGTCCTCTAGCCGTCCTTCGCCAGCTTCGCTCCGTGACGTCGACGCTTCTCCGCGCCTTGAAGTCAAGGCCCTGCACGCTTCCCAGTCGATCGTAGTTCCCCTCCAGCCGCGCCCGTACGGTACCCACGCCGCTGCCAGTGTCGGCAGTCCGGCTGAGTCCACTCGGCCTGGGCGGACTTCGGAATGGAAGATCCAAACACATGGCACCCTATACCCCCCATTTCGGGGTGGAGCTATAATTAGACACCCCTGGTCGGGAGCCCTGGTATAATCCATGTACTTGGTGCCTGGGAGGTGTCCCTGATTTATTGATGTTGTAGCCAAGACACTCCATGGGACTGGAATAGTTATATACATACATTTGCTCTCATTTGCCCCATGCTAATAACCCATCCATGTAAGTTATAACCAATGGAGTGTCCGTGTAGTGGCGACGAAAGATTGCAAATGAAACTCAGATACGGACATATACGGACCAAACCCGGTGAGTTTGTTCACATCGCCCAAACCCGGAGTTTTCCAACATTTTCCAACCCCCCCCAAAAAAACTCTCAAAGTGAAACGTGAATCCTTCGTGACACGGGAAGAAACCATCTCTCCACTGGAGACGGTTTTTGACCCTCTCGAGGCTCCAAGATTTGACTCAAGTTCGGTATGACTGGGCCCCCCCTTCATCCCAGTCCCAACTCTCCCACCTCTCAGGCCGAGGGCTACGACGGTACGCCCAATAGATTGATTCCTAACCCCCCCCAAATGAAGAATTTGCCTACATTAGGGCGGGTCTCACCACCTGGCCGAAGACATGGTCGAAGACATGTTCGTTTGGGTCGTTGGGTCTTCCGTTCTTGGAAAGTGAAACGGATTTTCAGGGTCTATAGCATGCTGGCTAGCACGACTGGGATAGCTATAGCATGCTACACCAAGGTCTGCCGTGCAATGCTATGACCGAGTTGCATGAAGCCACCACTGAGTCGAGCCTCATGTCGAACCGTCGAGAGCCGTGTCATGTCAAAATCAATCATCTGGAAGGGAGGTAGGGATATACACTTTAAAGAAACAGAACAAAGTGAGCTTTCAAGGGGGCATATATGATCATATATATATATATATATTATACTGCATGCATACAATAAATATATATATATACACCGTATATACACTGTGTATATTACTTATATATACATTATGTATGTTACTTATTACTTATAGTCTGTGTGGATGCGTTAAAGTCCAGTCACCAGCACAAACAGCCACATGATCGGATGGATCGGCAAGAACTTCTTGTGATCTTCAAACTGAATAGTCCTACGAATACTGTTGAGTGGGCTTTGCTTCCCAAGCCGTCGTCTAAATGTGGACCAAAGACCTTGCGGAAACAAAAGTGCGGGAAAAAGGACTGGGGGGGAATGTCAAGGGCCCTGATGCTGAAGACCAAATCCGTGAGGCTGGAGGATGAACATCCCTGAGCCCCTGAGATGAAGTAAACTGTCACTTGTGAGAGACATTCACTTTACCATGCCTCAACAACCCGTGCAGTCTAAGTTATCTCTCTACACTACATCTCTCCACCGGCAACATCAGATTTGGATGTTAGAGGTCGCAAGAAGAGAATCCCTGCAAAACGCCGTAATGATGATGTTCTGCGCGCGGACCATCTGCCTGATACCAGGCGGACACCTCGTCCGCTCTGCACGGATTCCCCAATGGGGAGGTGTGAAAACCTCACCCTGTATTAGCAAGCCTATATTGGCTTCCATCAGGTTTCCATCACCCTATAGGCTTCCACCCACCGATTCGATTCCAAAGCCCGGCTTTCCTTTGCATCTCATTCCCAAGCGGCTCGCTCGTCCGTCGCCGGACTGCTCTGCCGGTCCAAACCGCCACTCTGCCTGTGGAAAAAGCGCTGGTGCGCAGCACCGGGGGGTGGGAAAGAACGGTGAGCATCGCGACGCGACGCGTCGGAGCGATCGGACGCGACTCGAACGGGGCGAACCTGGCCGCCACCGACGAACGGGAGCGATCGGACGCGACTAGGTTTGATCAGCTAAGCAATGGAAGTTTACTTCAGACATGGAACAGATCCGAAATCATCACATCTAAGCAATGGGTGGCTTGCTGACTGTTCGCTCCATGTGCCAAAGCTTCATGCATGATGTTTGTTCTGCATTTCTCGTGATCTATATTATACAGTATCATGTTGGTGCAAAATCGGTGGAGTAGTGACAAACACTAACTATGTACAAAATTGTGCAAACAATTGCGATCTTCATGGGTTGTGACTCACCAAAAAAAGCATTCCCACACAAAGCCTCGCAGCAGCCAAAAAGACACAAACGAAACATAACGAAACCATGATGTATTTTGACCACACATTTTTTTCTCCATGCAACCAATGCCACCCTCCACTTCAACCAGCCACCTTTGTCATTCAAGACGACGGTTTTGCGCATGTCCGGTTGGACCTGGACCGGACCTGGGTCAGACTGGACCTGGGTCAAGGGTACGGATACAGTATGGAAGCGTTTCACAGCAGCACATCTGCGTGGATGTTCTAGATCGAGGCGAACTCCGCGAACATCTTGTGAACATCACCCAACACTGGATCAAGGCTCTTCCACGAAAATGTAAGTCACATACTGTACCTGTAACAGCGGATTATAAGTGGTGAGTAAAGGCCTTTCTCTAGTGATATTCTTGTTTAACGACTGTTACAGGTAATGATAACCCCATGCACACCGGTGTCATTCAGGACATGTTTTTTTTTTCTTTTTTTCGTTGGAATCGAAGAGGTCGTCCGGTCGGTGCTCGCGCCGCCGCGTGATCGTGCAGCCAAGGTACATGAAGCCACTGCTGAGTCGGGCCTCAGTCGCTGCTTGATCACCCAAGATCTGTATCAAACATGATCAAACGCATCCATCAAAGAACAAGCAGTTACCCAAGCAGTTACCCAAGCAGTTTAACATGATCACCCAAGCAGTTACCCAATTGAGACCAGACCTCCTTGGACATCAAAGAACCGAGACCGACCGTCCACGGTCGTCCCTGTCGTCCGGCGTTCCGAGCCCCTGGAAGCGTCAAAAGCCCAATCGGTTTGCTTCCTATTCACATACACACCTTTTTTCGTTCGCGAGGGAGATGAATTTTTTTTCGTGGTTCTTTGTCCAGGCAGTGAATCTGTTTGGCTTTAGACATGAACATCTCTCACAACCTTTGCAAAGCACGATCTCCTTTTCTTCTCGATTGCGAAACCAACAGCACTATTGTGACTAATGAAGGATTTGGTGCTCCACATCGGATAGCTTCTCTTGAGTCCATGTCCGTACGGATTGCCCATGACACATGTACGAACCGTGCCTTCGGAGCAAAAAGAAGTTCCAAGTCAAACATCCGCCAAGTGTTCAAGGCGCTACAAGCTATGGATGCGGTGTACAACAAGCTTGCGTGCGGATGAACACAAGTGGTTGAATTGAATCGAGGCTTGAATTCACCCCTGCAATCATGCCCCAGAGTTGCACCAATCTTGTGCCCATCCTTTCAGCCCTCTGCTAAAATGACAGGATCAGAATCGTCGGCCCCAACGTCATGATACTTGGGCCTCAAATTGAACCATCGCTACAAGGGTAACCATATCCCTACGTACGTCCAGCCTGACCCAGTTAAACCTGGTCTCTGACCCTCCCAAGGGGTAGTGTTTTTGTATGATCAACTCCAGGTCTACAGTACCTCCTCTTTGAAGGCTAAGAGACACTGATGCCCCCACGCAATTGGAAGGAACTACCGGCAACCGACCGTTTTTCTTTTCCCAAACAGCAAATGTCTTCAAATCATTCAAATGGGTTCAAAATGATTCAAATGGCCCAACCTGTTGATGGAAGACATGTTTTCCTCCATCCAATCAGCTCCAAACAAGTCTTTCACTGCTGTTTTTTTCCGAAACTCCAAAGCTTTTGGTCCACTTCCACTTCGAGCAGCTCGGGTTTGCTCCTCGGTGTTGGTGGTGGAGTTCTGGTTCAGCATGACCCCGCTTGCGTTCAAGGTGTTCTTATCCTCAGGCGGATCAGCGAGCGTTTACCGGTTCCGCGGTTCAGTTTCCTACATGGAACGCGTTTTTGCATGGGCTGGAAAAACGGCGGTCTGAAGGATTTGATTGGGTTTACTCCCCCCAAACGAATCATGGAAACGCTACCAACAGGGTGCTGTCCACTTCCATGTTTGTGAGGGAGGGTGGTTGTTTCACGTTCTTGGATGTCCTGCAAGAACACTGATATCAATTCTGGAGAAGACTCCAACCGCAGAACTTGGGACCCCCCGGTTTCTCATCCCAGATCTGCCATGCTGTTTAAAGTCCTGCTCTCAGAAAGGGATGTTGGTAGAACCTCCTCTCAGCCCTCCCCACACCAAAGGCAAAATCACCAACTATCACCACCACCACCACCACCACCATCACATGCTCTCCATCTCTTCCCAGGTCTACGCGGCCACACTGTTTTGGTTGTAGGAGCTCTTCCCAAACTGCATGGGAAGTCATGGGAACAACATGTCTATATAGAGGGTCATGCTGCGTCTGTGTTTAATGGCTGGTCATTTCTTAGATCTGAATAAGGTCGATGACCGAGGGTCGAGGAAAACTACTCCAACTGCCCCAAGCTCGCGCAACATTTACCGCACAAAATTGTCATTTGATCATTGTTTCTTGGTTGCTTGTGGCCTACACAAAAACAGAACCTTCGCCAAAGCTTTCGCGAGCTTTAGCTGCTGCGAAGGGTGCCTACGCGATGCACATGTTTATCAAACGTGCCTATGCGAGCGCTTTCGCGGTGCATCGGACAAATCCTTTGCTTCAGCCAGAAGACATTATTCAGTGTCAGAGGCAGGTGAAGATGAAGCAGCAGCGGGCGAAGCAGTGCAAGAAGGCGAGGCAGCTTGCCAGGAAACAGTTTGACGGCGATGTTTTGCTTGCTTGTGTAGGCGAGCAGCAGCTTGGGACAACAAGACTTCTTCTCGACGAGTTGCGGGGAGGTTTTGTGGCTGGAAACTCTTCTGGGCCAGGCGGCGTCGGAAGGGGATTGGTTGGATGGAGGCTGTAGGTGCTTTCGCGGAGTTTTCGCGGAGCTTTCACGGGCTTTCGCGGGGATCAGCTTAGATTTTGTGTTTTTGCGGTTTCTGCAACAGCAATGGTACGATTGCCCTGCGAATGCCAATCCCCATGGCACCGTGACACAAAGCGCCGACTTCACGCCTACGCAGCAAATTCATCCTTCACACTTGAACATGTCACGTTTCTACACTATTTCACACAAATCTGACACTTCCTGCTTCCACCCAAAGAACAAGTTGAGGAGAAAGCTGCCCGACCAAACATTTCATTGCACCACTCCAGTAGCTACACTGGAATCGACTGGAATGAAGTGCGGTGAGATTGTGTGCACGTGTGAGATTCATACTTGCCTATACCTATACTTACCTGCACTATATATAATATAGCTTTCGCGGCTCACAAATTGGAAGGTTGCGCGGGGCGCTTTCGCGAGCTTTCGCAGAACAAGAAGCTTCACACATTTGCTTTCGCGGAAAGTTAACAAGTTCCACTTTTGCATGTGTCCTTTCAACTGAAAGAAAAAACCGTTGCTCATTTGGCCGAGGTAGCCAAGAACGCAGCATTCACCTTGTCCTCCTGGTAGTTCTTGGTACCAGGTGCCTTGAAACTATCAGGTACCGACATCGACATCAGTTGACACCTGGAAACAGCAAAACACTCGAGCACACACACACACATGTTGAGATGGTTTGGATTGTTTGACCCATAATTAGGCTTTTAAAGCAGCAAGCATGACCTTCCGTGCAACATGGTCATGAAACTGGCGAAAGCCCGCTTTCGCAAGTTTAAGTGGACTGACCACAAGCCGGCGGGGGCCCCTCTGACTGAGAGCCTCTCCTGCTCTAAGTCCTCCTCCTTCGCTAAGCTGTGGTGGCTTGGACTTGGCTCTGGAAGAATGCTGAAGGCTTCCTGCGGTGAACGACGGACGCCACGCTGCCCATTGGCCGAGGCGGCAGGTGTTTTTTCACCACGGGGCGGTGAGGACGGTCCACCGGTGGGTCAACCGGTGACGATCAGTGAGACCAGACTAGACCAGACGGTTTTCTTCGTAGAAAAACCACATCCACTCACATCAAACACAGCTAAGATGTTTCGAACGACCCTCTGTTGTTGAAAAACAGAGCGCTCGAGCTAAACAAAGGTAGGTCATTCGTGTGATTCATGTAGATTCATGTCGGGCTGCGAAAAAAGCATAACATAAAAGACCATAAAAGCAAAAAGAAAAGAAAACACACACACACACATATAATCACATATCACTCCTCAAAACCGGCTTCCCTCAACCGGATGTAAGACCATCTATAGGCTGATGATATAAAAGACATCATGAGAACATACCAGCTCAACCGTATCAACCCGAAATTGTACATTTTTTTAAAAAAGTTGTCTTTTTGATTTTGGTATAACAATTCTTTT